CCCCAAACAAGGAAGAGGAATCCGCAGATCTGCTGGGTAGCCTCAGGCAGAGGCTAAATTAGCACCTCCTTAGAGATCCAAGAGCCAGTGTACCCAGTGGTCAGAGTGGGACCATTCAGATTACAACTCCGCAGATCCATAAGGGACACACTCAGAGGGCAGATTCAGTGAGCACCAATGCCCCACTGAAGCAAGTCTTGCCCCAAAAGGGTGTCTCCAGCACAGAAGTTCTCCCACTGCAGACACAGCGGATTCTCACAGGCAATTGGCCTGGAGGTCAATTCCTCCCAGTGTACCTACAACAATCAAGGCTTAACTACAACAAGACTGTACACACAGCCCACAAAGGGGTGCACCAAGAGTGTCCACCTCAGGTAATTGGGGAGGCTGAGCCACTGGGCCCTATAGGACACCTAGCACAGAAAGCCACTCTATCAGCACAGTGAAGCATAAAAAATGCAGAGACAAAGAAACAGGTCACAAATGACAGAAATGGAGGAAAACAAACTACTGGATATAGAGTTCAAAACCACACTTATAAGGTTTTTCAAGAATTTTCTAGAAACCGCCGATAAATTTAGTAAGACCCTCAATAAGTCTAGTGAGACCGCCGATAAACTTAGTAAGACCCTCAATAAGTCTAGTGAGACCGCCGATAAATTTAGTAAGACCCTCAATAAGTCTAGTGAGACCCTCAAGAAATCTAGTGAGACCCTCGAGGATATGAAAAAGCACCAACTAGAAATTAAACATACACTGACTGAAATAAAGAATATTATACAGAGTTCCAACAGCAGACTAGAGGATAGCAAGAATCAAGTCAAAGATTTGAAATACGAAGAAGCAAAAAAAAAAAAAAAACCCAATCTGAAAAACAAAAAGAAAAAAGAATCCAAAAATATGAAGCTAGTCTAAGGAGCCTCTGGGACAACTTCAAGCATACATCCGAATTATGGGGGTGCCAGAATAAGAGAGCGAGCAAGATATTGAAAACCTAGTTGAAGAAATAATGATAGAAAACTTCCCCTACCTGGTGAAAGAAATAGGCTTACAAGTCCAGGAAGCGCAGAGAGCCCCAAACAAAAGGAATTCAATGAGGACCACACCAAGACACATCATAATTAAAATGCCAAGAGCAAAAGACAAAGAGAGAATCTTAAAAGCAGCAAGAGAAAAACAGTCAGTTACCTACAAGGGAGTACCCATACGACTGTCATCTGATTTCTCAACAGAAACCATGCAGGCTAGAAGGCAGTGGCAAGAAATATTCAAAGTGATGAATGCCAAGAACCTACAACCAAGATTACTTTACCCAGCAAAACTATCATTCAGAATTGAAGGTCAGATAAAGAGCCTCACAGATAAGAAAAAGCTAAAGGAGTTCATCACCACCAAACCAGTATTATATGAAATGCTGAAAGGTATACTTTAAGAAGAGGAAGAAGAAGAAAAAGGTAAAGAAAAAATTATGAACAGCAAATACATATCTATCAACAAGTGAATCTAAAAATCAAGTGAATAAATAATCTGATGAACAGAATAAACTGGTGAATATAATACAATCAGGGGCATAGAAAGGGAGTGGACTGATTATTCTCAGGGGGAAAAGGGTGTGGGGGGTGAAAGAAGAGACTGGACAAAAATCGTACACCTATGGATGAGGACATTGGGGGGGGGGTAAGGGCAGAGGGTGGGGTGGGAACTGGGTGGAGGGGAACTATGGGGGGAAAAAAGAGGAACAACTGTAATAATCTGAACAATAAAGATTTAAGTAAAATAAAATAAATAAATAAATATTGGACAACAATGTGGAGACCCAGGAACTATACCATGAACCATTATAGCACTAAAAATAACACCTGACCATTTATTTTTTAACATATTACTTAGTAACAGGGAACCATCAAGGCTGGTATGTTCATCTCTATTATAACCAAAGGTTCTTTTCCCTCTTCCCCCCTCCCCTTTTAAAATAGCCTTAAAAATGTGATGTTACCTGTGACTAGGTCTCTTAAATTAAAAAAAAACACAAAACTGTGTATAAAGGAGTGTCCTGTCCTAACATTCTTTTCATTCTCTGAAGAATGTGTATACTGCACTAGCCATGGCAGGAATCAATACCAAGGATTTGCAAAGAACAAGAGCAGGTCTACTCATCCTAAAAATAACATCACTATATATTATACTATCATCATATAATTATAATATAATAATATAACATTTATTATTATAATATAGTATACTGCAGTATAGTGTAGTATAATAGTAATAGTATAATAATATAACAATAATATTAATTTATTGTTCTAAATTAAGATATATATTTCTTTCATTGTGTTGAATAGAGTCTCCCTGAAAGTGAAGAGGCATTTTTTTATTTTCAACACAATAGCAACAAAATAGCATAAAACAATATTATGATAAATTATTTTTACATATATATCACTTTCTTGCGTACTGAAATCATATATTTTCAGCTTATAATTTCATTTGTTACAATAAAACAATATAAAAACAACCATTCTCCTAAGGATCGTGCTTGGCTATTAAGAATGGTTAAAGAACAAAAATTCAGATCTGAAGATCTAATTGTCTTCATTGAGCGATTCATGTCAGGCAGCATCCCATCTAGTAAACAGAGAGTTTCTCCAAGAAGTTTAAATATGGAAGACTTTTATAGGTAGAAACTAGGCAGGACAAGAATGCTATTAGCAAAAGAAAAGAAAGGATTTTTTCTGGCCAGGCTACCTTCCCTTTGACGAAGGCTGGATCTGATGGGGCAGATTGCCTCAGTTTCGTTGCAAGCGGGGATTGTGGTTGGAGAGGGTCATGATAAATTACCTCACTGGTGCTGACCAAAAATTCCAGACCAACCAATTATATGCCTGCAGAAGGTTGCGACTGCAATTAGATCAGGTATTAAGTCTAAGTTCCGTGTGATGGGCTTTATAGCACATGTGACTCCATTTTGGGCCTGTGGTTTTCTTTAACAGAACTCTATTTTTAAAGAAACTGCTTATGAGATACTTAAAATTAATTATTATTTTATAGATAAACAACTTAAATTAGATTAATTCAGTTTTCTAATCTGTAGACCTAGTCTATATCAAGTGGTATTTAATCAGATTGTATCTTTGTATTTCTAAAACATTCAGAATAATATATTGTGGACTGTAAGCATTTTATAATGTAACACTATAATGGAGGTGTGAAAATCGCTTTTAAATTAGTATAAAAGTAAAAAACTAAAGTATTAAGAATACTTATAACTACAAAAATTAGTTAATTTCTATTTCATATTAATGATGCATTTGTTGGGTTCCGGGGGGGTGGGGCGGCGGTAAGAGATCAACCGAAGGACTTGTATGCATGCATATAAGCATAACCAGTGAACACAAGACACTGGGGGGTAGGGGAGGCCAGGGGAAGGTCAAGGAGGGAAAAAAAGGAGACATATGTAATACTCTTTGTAATACTTTAAGCAATAAAACAAAATTTTAAAAAAATAATGCATTTGTAATCAGAAAATTACTTCAGCCTAAACACATGGTTTGCTAAGCTTTATTTATTCTAAGATGATGTGTTTTATACAAGTAAAAAATTACATCAATTAAATACATAATCTCCAGCATCTTAATTGCTATTTAATATTTTAGTATAGTTTTTATTCCCCAAAAAAATTTCTAATTTCAAGGAGAGGTAAAAAAAAAAAAAGTAACTAAGTTTTACTATATACAGTTGACTTTATTAAGCAGATCTTGAATATTTTCTTGGTTCTTTCACTCCCCTTTTAAAATTTTTATTAGAAAATTGCACTAAAGTATAACAATAAAGCTTCCTTTATGACTCCTAAAACACACCAGGCAGTGCCTGACTCTGTGCATGGACTAGATACTTCTCTGCTCCACTAATAAGTGGAGGTTCCCTCCACTAATAAGTGGAGTCCTGACTAGTAACTACTAGTATATAGAGATTCTTGGGCTTTGTAAATGTAAAGGCTTTACTTCAAATATTCAAACAAGTAATGTCAAGGTATAGTTTTTTTCTTATTTCCTCTATCAACCATGGTTGGTAAATGCATAGAGTATAAACTAAAATTCTAAATAAATATGGATATCTTAATTTCATGGAAGTCAATGTATTATGTATATATTATTGATTTTAGAAAGGAAAAGCGAGATAGAAACATCAACGATGAGAGAGAATCATTGATTGGCTGCCTCTTGCACGACCCACAATTGGGATCAAGCCTGCACCCAGGCATGAGCTCTGACTGGGAATCTGAACCGTGAACTCCTGGTTCATAGGTCGATGCTCAATCACTGAGCAACACTGGCTGGGCTGGAAATGACTTTTCTAAAATAAATTTAATTATTACAAACACATATGGTTATTTTAGGATTAATTAGTATGATTATAATATAGGAAACACATTAAACTATGAATATACAAACATATAATAGTGCCAGTGTCAAAGCAATTTTTTAATGGTCACTAGGAATTACCACATCAGCTTTTAAGGTGTAACAGTGAGAACATACAACTTTATTTATTCAGAATAATTAGAAGAAAAGGCAACTCAGACCTGTACAAATCCAATTTATGAAATATTTTAAAAGAAACTCTGCTTTTATAATTTCTAAAAACAAGGAAAATACATTGCTCATTTACTATTTAGTTATTAGGAATAAAACAAGAAGGGAGGGAAAATCACTATACAAAAAATTTTCCTTGCTGCTATTGAAGGGTTGCATTAAAAAGGAATATTGGAAAATAATATCATCCTTTTGTTCCACCCTGAATATATATATTCACAGCTCAAATATTTAAAATGTAGTGTTTGCGGAATTATTCTGAGAGGATTTGTAACCTGATGATTAGAAGAACATCTGAGTAAGCTCTTCACATTCCATTCTTGCTTATTATGTTCATTTAGATGTATTTGTCAATTTATAAATACAGTTAATTAAAACTTTTTAAATTTTCTTTTTTTTTTAAAGGAGCCCGCTACATGAAAAAAATGCAAGTCAAAGTGGTCACAACCTAGAAGTCTGCAGAGACAGGAATAACTAGCAAGTAGATATTATGTTATTTTGCTATGCTTAAATATGTAGAATTCCATAGTGTTCTTAGAATTTTACTCTATAATAACCAAATAGTCATAATTTAAAATTTACACTTAGTAATATTTGTGTTAACTATATATTATATTACAAAAATAGGAAGAAAAGAGTAACTATGAATTTCAGGAAAACAATTTTCTGTCAATATTAATGAAATTATTTTGATCATAAAGATAAGTTTAAATATTGTATCCTCTCTCAGGTCTTATTTCTAGAGCCCCAATTCAACAATATATTTCTTTATAAAAAAGAGTAAGACTCTCCCTATGCCTCATGACATACTTAGTTACTATGTAAATATATTAATTCTTCTCATAAACCATTAATAGAAATTATGTTATAACCATACTTTAAGAGTAAAGTAAATTACATTCACTTTTGAAGGTTACATTTCAAAATTTCAAGGTGCTATCAAATGAAATCCAGACACAAAGCAGGATCTTTCCATTTATCAGTACTTACTGACATTTTCAAGTAATGAAATAATGCAGTGTTTGGATGAGTGGATTCAGAAGAAGATTTAAGAACGTGGGAAGGGTAAATAAGATTATTTAAATGGAAAAAAAAACATTTTTGAAAAATTCATTGTTTCACATTAAAGTTGTTGGAGTTTATTCTTTCTCCAAATGTATCTTGAAGATCGTAATAGAATAGAATGTTAAGGCTAAAAGATTTTAGAAAGTATTTACCTCAAATCTTTCATGGATATGGATTAAGAAACTGATACATTTATATACACATGATATACATATTTTAATACACACACCAATACATTTATAGATACATAACATACATCTTTTTAAAAAAAATTTTTGTTGTTGGTATTATTCCAGATGTCCCCCATTTCTCTCCCCACCTTTGCCTTCTATCACCCAAATCCCTCCCTCCCCTCCCTCTGGCCCTCACACATTGTCTGTGTTCATGGGCTATGCATATATGTTCTTTGACTATTCTCTTCACCTTCTTTCATCCTGTCTTTCCCACCCTCCTTTTAGATAAAACTTAACACAGTTAGTTCTTAATTTAACAAGAATTTTCAGTGGTAATGATGATTAAAATATATTTATAAAGAGAAGTGTACTGTATAAGAAATGATGGCATTATCTATAATAAAAATATTGTAGAAATTGTACATTTTATATTTATATTTAAAAATCCTATAATAGTAGAAGTTTCTCTAATTATAAAAATGTTTAAAATTGTGTTTCAATTGCTCAACAGTACAGTCCCTAAAGAATTATATAAGCCAGCAGAAGTTTCTTCCCTTTCTGTCTTCTTTTACGGCTTTATAAATGACGCCATGGATAATAAGTACCTCACATATAAACTCTTATAAATATTCATACTATTGGAGCCATATATCTTGATAACAAGAATGCTAAGTAATGGTTCAATAGAGAAGGATCATTATAATGTAAATTACTAGCCTTTAATGTATCTGGTTTATAAATTTAGAGTTTTTCTCTTGGGTTGTTATACAGTGATACAAGCTTGCACTATGAGGCAGTGGAAAGCAAAAGCTCTTTCAAAATTCTAAGACTTTTAAAATAGTTCAGTTGGATTATCTTTCTAATAAAGGAGATAAAATTGTTAAAAAAATGTATTTAGAAATATGTTGGTAATAACCAACATCAATTTTAGCTCAGAAGGAAATGAAGATCATAATTTAAAAGGCATTGAAGAACTTAAAAGAAGAGTTAGTGAAAAAAGGAGAAACATCTGGTAGACTGTTGAGAGAGTCTGGTGGTGGAAGACCAGGTAATTGATGCTGTCAGTAATCCAGGTGGACAATTTCAGAGTCAAACTAAGGTGGCGGCAGTAGAGATATTGAACAGGACTTTGATTTGAAAGAAATACCTTCTTCACTGTATTCTACAGAAGCTTGACGTGGATCCCATTATTTAAGATCTGGTATATTAAAAGAAGAGCACTTAACTTTCAGCAGAGGATATTAAAATGCTAGCTTTAGACAGTGAAATTCAGGTGCCTGTGGCAAAGCAAAATGGGTATCTCACAGGGATGATGGAAATTCAGAACTGAAGCTCTAGGATTAGAAGACATATGGACTTAATTTATCTGAATACAGATAGTGATTGAGGCCACCAGAATGTAATCAGGCAGAAAGCATATACAGGGGGAAGGGGAACATTACCACAGGTACAATTCCTAGGATCAATATTCAATCATCAAAAGTGGAATGAACCACAAAAACACTGAGCAGTAGTCAAAAGTAAGAGTACAACTGGCTTCCAGTGTTTATGTTTTGTTTTAAAAAAATAACAACAAAGCAGGCAGATTCATAGACATTAACTGTTAAATGCTGCTGAAAAACCTAGGAGAAATATGACTGAGAGAGCAAAAGCTTTGGGGCATCACAATTAGTCAGCCATTGGGAGCCCTAATGAAGAGCATCTAACTTTGAAGGCCAGACGGACTTACGAGTCCTTTTCAATATAGTGACTTTATTCTTTACCTTATCTCCTTCCTACATCAAGCCCAATGATAGAATTATGTTGTTCAGATTTATCTTCGGATGGTTTTATATTTTTAAACCAGATTTAACAAGTCAGATTTACTTATTCTCAGGATATCTTTCTATTGCAATCACACTAAAACATCCCATAATTTGAATAGCTAATGCAATTGAATGTACCTTGGTTAAGGATATCTTCATTACTAGGTAATCCTGTCAAATACATTTACCCTATTATTACTTCATTCAGCCATCTCATAAATGATTTCCCTCAGCCGGCTGACAAATACTCTATTTGCATCTTTGTTAGGAAGATCCCAGTCCTCCTGCAGTGTTTCTCCTTTACTCTCATACTACTACCACACCCACAAGACTTCAGACAACAACCGATTTTCTGTGACACCAGCTGGGCATCCTACAATTTAACTCTATTCTGACACTGTCTACCTAGAGAAGCATCAGATCTCCTAGGTTAAGCCTTCAGTCACATCAGAAGACCCACACACACCTCAGATGGCAAACCCACGTAGCAGGTCTCCGGGTTACCCACAACTTCTGTCCAACTTGGCTACAAATTGGAGGTTCCCATGACCTCCTCCCCTTGGATTCTGTTATTTGCTGGAACAGCTCACAGAACTCAGGGAAAACTTACTTACATTTATCTGTTTATTAAAAGACATGATAAAGGATACAGATGAACAGCCAGATGAATAGATATGTGGTCTGGTAGGGTTCGGAGCACAGGAGCTTCTGTCCCTGAGATGTTGGGCTGTATTATCCTCCTGGAATGGGGACATGCTCACCACCTGACAGCTCTCTGAATCCCATACTATTGAGATATTATGGCGGATTACTCATGTAGGCATGACCAATTTTTAACTCCATTTCCAGTCCCTCTTCCTTCCTGGAGAATAGGAGGTAGGGCTGAAAATTCCAAGCTTCTAATTATGGCTTGGTTTTTCAGGTGACCAGTTCCCAACCATGACCCACGCAGAAGTTCAGCCAGAGTCATCTCATTAGAACAAAAGACACTCTTATCACTCAAGAAGCTCTAAGAGATTTAGGAACCCTGTGTCAGGAACTGGCATCAATGACCAAATGTTAGGACAAAAGATTCTGCTAGTACCTTTATCCCTTAGGAATTTACAAAGGTTTAATAAGCTCTGTCAAAAACTGGGGGCATAGATGTGCCTGTCTACCTGTCCGTCCATCCATCCATCCATCCATCCATCCATCCATCCATCCATCCATCCATCCAGTGCTAATAGTTCCTGGCACATAGTAGGAACTTATAAGATATTTTTGAATGAAAGAATGAATGCTTTTCTCCCTGTGGATTATTCCTAAATTCTTTTTAAAGTACTGTTACCGTCTTGCAGCAAGTACACTCAGAATTGTTTGACCATCTCTAAATCCTTAAATAAACAAAAGACTAAGAGGAAAATAAGTAAAACTTTCTTTAAAAAAATACATATATTTTTATTGATTTCAGAGAGGAAGGAAGAGGGAGAGAGAGATAGAAACATCAGTGATGAGAGAGAATCATTAATCACCTGCCTGCTGCATGCCCCCTACTAGGGATCGAGCCTGCAATCCGGGCATGTTCCCCAGCCAGGTATTGTACAGCGACCTCCTGTTTCATAGGTCAGTGCTCAACCACTGAGCCACACCAGTTGAGCAAGTGTAACACTTTTATGTGAGATTTTCCACCTGATTCTCATTAGTACTATTAGTATTTTTCTTTCCCTGGTACTATAGAGTTAATTTTCATGATTGTAACTAGGGCAGAATAGCCAACATCTCTTTTAAGACTTTTTATTTAGAAACAGATTACCCTTAAGTCTTTATACTGCTTTATTTATTTATTTTTTTTTGGTCCACAATAAAAATAGCATTATTGCTTTATTTCAGTTATATAATCCATGCTTATTGTAAAAACTTCAACCAATGTATGAAAGCATAATGAAGAAAGTTGCTTGAAAAGCCACCCAAATGATATAATGATTAACATTTACATTTTTTATGGTTTGACCACTTTCTCATTATGAAATGTTCTTTTTTATTTCTAATGATTATTCTTGTTTATTCTACTCTTTCTGTTCTTAGTAAAACTACTGCCAGCTTTCTCTTAGTTAATATGTTCATGTGTTTTTTTAATTAACTTTATTAGAGTTACAAAGATTAATAAGATTATATAGGTTTCAGGTGTACAACTCTATGATACATCACCTGTATATTGCATGTATTTCTTTTTGCAGCCTTCTACTTTCAGTCTTCTTGTGTTCTTATATTTATGATTTCTTGTAAACATCATATAATAGACTTTTTTAAAGTCTAGTCTGTAATATTAATCTTTTACTTGGAATATTTAACTCATTTACATTTGTAATTATTTGCTGATATAATTGGATTTATATCTATCATGTTACTCTTTATTTTCTCTTAATAACCTATCTGATTAGGTTTGTTTTTCTCTTTTT